CCTCGCTGATGCCATCTCGGCCTTGAAGGCAGCGCTAGGCCGGTGCCCCTGTGCCACAGCCTGCGAGCAGGGGCCAGGCACAGCCGAGGGTGTCATCTCTAAGGTGCACCTGAAGAGCTTCGTGGAGCAGCAGGGCTTGCTGGGCTATGACCCCAATCTAGATGTGCTTCTCGGTGAGCCTCACATGTACAGCAGCTCAGGTGTGGCAGTGGGGGTGGAATGGGTGCAAACAGACCTGTTTCCTTGCAAGGTAGGGTGGTAGACACAAATGGCTTGCCCCTCTTGTTCTCCTTCAGTCTGGTTTGATGCTATGGCAGACCCGATGCTGGAGGGTGGAGAATGCCGTGTTCCACTGTGTGTCCCTCCTTCTTTCAGTAACAGAGAGGACACTGCAGTCCTTGGCTGAGCTGCAGGAAGCTGTTCTGCAGTGCCCAGTGAGTGACCCCACAGCACTGCCCACCTCTCGCCTCCCAAGTGTCCCTTCCTTCTGGCAGGCAATGGGATTGAGCTCCCTGTTGTGCTCTGCTGCAGGCCAAAGGCCAGAGCAGTTGCTGCAGCATCGTGCACGTGGTGAACTGTGAGGAGGAATTCCAACAGCAGCAGCTGGATGTGCTCTGGAGAATTTTGGATCCGGGAGCCCACACAGCTTTGCAGGTGAGCAAGAGCAACCTGACCCTTCTCAGTGTGGCCCCCAGCATCCATCCTTGGCTCTAGGTGTAGAACAGGGCTGGATTTCACTCAGTTCCCAGCCTCAGCCTCTCTGTCTTTCAGAAACACCTTGTCTGCGGGCCAGTGAAGGTGACCAACCCCTCATCACCCATTGGGGCAGACCAGTACTTCCAGTAAGTTGCTGTGCAGGGCACCTGCTGCTTTCTCTGCTGCTAAGGCTCCCTGTGGTCCAGCTCAGCCCACAGCAGGTGGCTCTGTCTGTGTTTGTCCCAGGCTCCGGAAGCGCCAGATGTATGAGGCCTCCGTGATCAAGTATGGGGAGCTTGCACAAGGTGAGAGCTGGGGCTCCATGGGGATGCAGCTCCATCCCATCTTCATTGCTCCCATGAGTCCACAGCTGGGGGGGCTGCACCTGCAGGGTGCTCCTTCTCCCCTCCAGGACCGAGCCAGGGGTTGCCCTCGCTTTGGGAAGGCATCTGAACATCCAGGGCGCTGGCACAGAGCAGCTCCTGATGGGAGCCAGGGCTGGTGCTGTGGTGGTCCTCAACCAGGGGTGTCCTGCCTGGGTGCTGGGGGTATCAGTACGTGGGAATGGAGCAAGCTGTGCATGATGGCACCTACATTCTCCACAGATGAGGCCTGGACAGAGGTGATTGATACCCTGACAGTGGCTGCCATCAGGTTTGAGATGCTGAGCACTGCTCACCGGAGTCAGGTAGGACAGTGGCTTGCATGGTGCCAGGGCTGGCTGGCAGGCTGTGGGAAGAGTAGATCTGTGCTGAGCAGCCTGGACTGTGGCTTCTCCCTGCCCTCAGATCACCCTGGACCTGGAGAACAACAGCATCTCCACAAAGGGAACAAAGAGTGGTGCCTTTGTGATGTACAACTGTGCCCGGCTGGCCACACTCTTCAGCACCTTTCAGCGGGCTGTGGAGCAGGGTGAGCACCAGCCCCAGCACCTCCTCTGACAGCCACTGCTGGAGCCACAGGGCCTTCTTTGGGCACAACAGTCTCCCTGCTTTCCAGGCACATACCCACCTCTGCCACCAGTGTCTGAACTGAACTTCTCCTGCCTCCGAGAAGAGGTGAGTGCTGAGACAAGGAATGGGGGGATCTGTGCACCCTCGGCTCTGGTGATTGATGCTATGGCCCCGGAGGATCTGACACTTAGATTTGTAATCCCTTCACAGGGTGAATGGCTCCTGCTCTTCAACTATCTCCTGCCCTTCCCTGAAGTCCTGCAGCAGGCAGCACAGCTGTCCCCACCCTCCAAGGGGATCCGGATCACTGCCAGCACAGAGACAGTAAGTGCCATGTGCCACAGCACCCATGGATGCTGCTCCAGCAGGCCCAGCCCAGGGCAAAGCTTCAGGCCAACAGGTGCTGCCCCTTGGTGAGCAACACAGGGACAGTGCTGAGAGAATAGATGGCCATGCCCCTGGGGAAGTTCCTGCTTTGCTTGGGGTGGGTGAGGGCCCAAGACCAGCCAGAATTCACTGTGCCATGAGAATGTCTCTGCCTTGTAGGTGTGCAAGTTTCTGATCCAGCTCAGCATGGATTTCAGCTCCTACTACAACCGGGTGCACATCCTGGGGGTGAGTTAGGTGTGCCAGCCTCAGTCTTGTGCCCCTTTAATCCTTTAGGGGCTGCACTGCTCCTGGGGGGCAGCCATGTGGGGAATGGTGCCAGGAGTGTGATGGCCCCCTGTCCCATCCTCCAGGGGAGCACAGGCAGCAGTGTGCCAAGGGGCAGTTTGGCCAAGCTGCCTTTCTCCCTGCAGGAGCCGTTCCCTCATCTCTTTGACCAGATGTTTGCTCGCCTCCAGCTGCTGGGAGCAGTGAGGGATGTGTTCCACAGCGCCCTGGCAACCCTGCACCTCCCTCCCCTCAGCCAGATCTGAGCCAGCCCTGAAGAGCTGGACCATGGTGTGACAGTCACCTACACACCACACCTTGGCAGGAGAACAGGGCACACTGTCCTGGCAGGGCAAGGGCTGCTCCAGTGGCAGGTAAGGCACAGTTCAGCCCCATGGAGGCATTTCCTTCCCATGGTGTTTGGGGATTGGTCTGTGCTCTCTGCAGCTGTGCCCAGTGTGGGACATGGATGCCCCTCCACATTCACACCAGCAGAAGGGAAAAGGGCTCCCATGGCACCCCAGAAAGATGGGCTGGGAGTACTGGGGAGGTGGCAGCAGGGACCAGTCACCACAAAGACAGACAAATGCCAACTTCACTTCCCTCAAAACTTTATTGAAAGGTGCTCCGTGCTGGCAGGGAGCTCCTGAGGCTCCTGGTTCCTGTTGGGCTCTGAGCCAGGCCCCAGTATTGGGGTCCAATACACTTGTTGCTGGACAACCCTTCTATGTGTCTGACCTCAGGGTTGTTTGTCTTTCCTTCCTTTCTTTGGTCTGACTGTCCTGGATCCTGCTGCTATGCAGGAAAAACCCACTTGGCCTGAGGGGGGTGGTATTTGTGGGCAGCCCAGCCACTCCCACCCCATGCCACAAGGGTGTTGCTGTGGAGGATCGGTGTCCCTGTGGATTTCAGCTCTGCAGGGTCAAGACTGTCACACAGGGCTTTGTCTGTGGACACGCAAGGCTAAAGCACAGCGTGTGTCACACCAGTCCTTGACCCTTCCTGGCCTCCTCCTGCTCTCAAGCTCCCAGGGCTGGGCCATATCCTCAGTGCCCTCCCAAGGTTCCTCTCTAAAACCAAGACTGGAAAGCTGACATTGGTCCTTCACACCTTGCAGAGAAGAGCTGCTCTTGGGCAGCAGGGGCTAACAGCCCCACTTCCTTACTGCATGGGGAAGCCCTAGGCTTGTCTGGAGGGATCACATCTGCCTTCTTCCCAGAGACCACTGGCCTCAAGCACCACAACCATGGCATGTGCCTGAAGGAGCCAAGTATGCCTGTCCCCTCAGGACAAGACACACAAGTGTGCAGGCTGGAGGCAGGGACCACAGCGATGGGCAAAGCCCAAGTGCAGGGTGCCCTCTGAATGCAGGCAGGGATCTGGGTGTGTCACACACCTGCCCCATTAGTGAGGAGCCTCTTGTGGAGGAGGTTTGGAGCAGGCTGTGCCACACAGCATCTCCAGGCCCTGCCCACAGAGCACGCAGTAGTAGCGCAGCTCACCCCCAGCCTCCTCCACCTCCCAGCAGTCGAGCTCAGCTAGGTCAGGCACGTGGAAGAAGGTGGTGCTGAGCGGCACCAGCTCTCCTGGGCAGCGGTTCCACAGCGTCAGGCGCTGGTCCACTGAGGCCGAGAGCAGCAGGTCTGGCCGCAGCACACGGATCCCCGTCACATGGGCAGCGTGGGCACAGGGCCTGCACACCCGCTCCAGGACCCGCAGGCAGGTCCCTGCCGTGCCCTCAGCCCTGCCCAGGGCTACCTCCAGCAGGCAGACGTGGATGGAGCCATCGTCGCTGCCGCTGGCCACCAGGTACCGTCCCTCGGGCGTCTCTCGGATGTGGAGGCTGTTGACGCCGCAGCTGTGCGCCATGACCGTGACCAGCGGGGCCTCCAGGGCTGGGAACATGGGCTGGGTCACGAGAGCAATGCTCACCTTGTCAGAGGGAGCACAAGAGCTGCTGGGCAGCAGCACTCACCCAAGGGCTGCATCTCTCCCTCTGCTTGGTGCAGGGCGTCTGCTGCATCCGTGATGGGGCCAGTGATGTCCCAAAAGGCAATGCTGCCATCAGTGGCTGCGCTGCACAGGAGGTGCCTCCTAGAATGGGGGGTGCAGAGGGAGTCTCTGGCTGCAGCCCTGGGGGTCCCCACTGAGATCCGTGGAAGTGGCAGAGCAGCCCCCAGGGATTAACTTCTCCCTTCCCTCTGCCTGCTCAGCTGCCAGCACTCTGCAAGGACAGACATTTCTCCCCAGAGCCCATCAATTGCAGCCCAGCATTCAGGGCTCACCTCTCTCCTCCTGCCCCTGTGTGCAGGATCGCTTCCACCTTCAGCACACAGCGCTGGTGGTGAAATGACTCTGCCACCAGCACCAACTTCTGAGCAGCCTCCAGCAGCCCAAAGATCCTGTAATGGAGCAGAGGCCAGTTGGCTGTGGGAGAGTAGGAGCTTCTGGCTCCACTGCCACATTTCTCACCATGCCCTGTCTTATGGCCAGCTCAGAGCAGGCCACATCCCATGGCAGCAGCCTCCTGTTTTGAGCCTGCTCTGCTGCCATCACCAGCTCCATTCTCCCTGCCAGGCCCCATGATGGCTCCTCACCGGACTGATCCATCACTGCAGGCAGCAGCCAGGAATTTCCAGGGTGTTGGCATCTGCTTGGTGCTCGTCCCAGGCACAAATGACAGGGACATGTACCTGCAGCAAAGACACAACATTCACCAACACCTCTGTGGCCCCATGGAGGTGGGTGGCCCAGGAGAGCAGCCCTGAGCCTTTCCCTAACACCAAAAGCCCCTTGAGACCCACAGGGCACTGTACACCAGGAATCACACACGAAGCCACGCTGGCCCTGTCTGCCTCAGCTGAACCTGCAGCTGCACAGAGCAGGTAGTCCAGTGGAGGCCCGTGCAGTTCTCAACACCCTCCCACACTGTGATCACTACTAATCCTGCCTTGGGCAGTCCCTGATCATCACCTCGTCTCTGGGTCCATCTTGACAAGCTTGTGCCTGTTCTTCTTCTTCTCCCAATGCTTGTCCAGCCGGTGGGAGGCCACGTGCATGACCTGGCAAGCCACAGCACTCTGAGCCGCCCTGTCCCCAGTGCACAGCAGCCGGTAGCACTCGATCTGTGCACGGCCACCAGCAGAGAAGAGCAGGGCAGACAAGCCCTCATCACCAAGGCCCTCATCTCCAGGTCCCATGGCGAATGCCAACGTCCTCACACTGGAAATGTGGTCACTGAGGCGGGCAAGGGGCACAGCTGCCCGAGAGTTCTCACTGAGGACCAGGACACAGGTCGTGGTGTCCTCACTGCCGGTGACAAACACGTTAACGGTGGCACGGCCG